GCTACAGAGCTTCCGCTGGAAAACAAACGCTTCTTCGACCTTAGTGCTTCCCAAAACAGCCAGGAAATTTCCTCAAGATGACCCACTCCTGAAAAATGTCAGGTTTCTATGGAACTCACAGGAGCCTAACTTTGGGGGAATTTGGGAGCAGATACCGATTCATGGCTTCAAGATCACTGGTCTCATAAGAACTCCACCTTTCCCTGATGGCTTTTCCGTTTATCAGTTACCAGAGGAGACAATGCCATTTTTGGAACTGAGCCGTACTTGAGTTACTTGGAACAAACTTGTCACAGGAAAACAGAGTCAAGCGCAAAGAAACAACTTCGTGCAGGTTTACAGCGACAACTTTTTGGCCGTGCCTCAGCCCAAAGATAAACCAGAAAGCACCGAGTTTCAAGACTTCTGGTACCGCCTGAAGAAGGTGAAACTCCTCTCTGCGCAGTTCTGAAGAGGTATCACTGCTATGAAGCCGTGCTAATGAAAGTAGCTTTAGGAGATGGCACAACGCCAGGGGTCAACAAGTTCCACTTCTCTTGAGGTTGCATCAGTTCCAGTATTTCCTTAGAACAATAGTGGAGACCTAGAAAAGAAGTAAAACATTTCTAAAATGCTAACTTCAACTTTGCTTTACTTTCATTTTGTCTTGGGACAACTCTGTACAGACTTTACCTCATCCTTAAGTAGAGAGAAATCAGAAGGGACCAGATAGATAATATAAGAAACTTCATTACCTTCATGAAAATCTGCTTTGGGTTTAGAAGGCCTGTAAGATAAAGAGAAGTGCGTTCTTTGCAGACTGAACAGAAAGAGAGACTTTGAAACCAGTGGCTTTTCTTTCTGTATCCCCTTAACTGAGAGAGAGCAACGAATAAATGAATAGAAACATCAAGTGACCCTGGAACGAGGGTTCAGGCAGGACTGACTCTCTAGTGCCACACTTGCACAGGCAGCGAGCTGGCACCGTGTTCTCTCCTCTGCACACAAAGATTGTGCCTCCCGCAGTCACAGCAATTTTAACCCCAAACAGTTCCTGGACTTTTGTTGACCAACCCAAATACCTGCAGAGCCTGGAGCCAGAAACACAGCGCCAGAGGAGAGGGAAGAATGAGATCAGTTCTTTCAACAGCAACGTAGCGTGAACGTGGCTGGGAAATGCCAGCACTGGCGGCGCTGTCGCTGGCAGCACCTGCTGTGCTGTGAGACACGCGCAGCCCCAGAAGGGACACGTCAGGAAAGGTGTCTGTCTCGTAACAGGGGGTTTGCAGATCCCCTCTGAGAAGACCAGACTGACACAACAGTCTTTTCTTCACAGAAATGGACTAGTTTTCCATTTCCTGCTGGAACCCTTGACGTAACGATTCCTTACTCTTGACTTGGTATGAAAACAGAACGGTTGTTTCCATATTTTCGTTTAAACATTTCTGTCAAAGACGACAGACTATTACTGATTCTGTAACTCCTACATGTAAGAGCTATGATTTTCACCTTTAAGCATTAAGAACAATTTTTCTTGGCAGGAAGACCATGTAGCCAACAGACATGACATTTAAGAACATACTTGCCTTTTGCCTTGTAAGCTGTCACTTCCTTCAGATTATAGTAAAATAAATGATGGCTGGCTGAAGTTTGGTATTTATTTTTTATAGACTATAGACATAGCAAAATAGCAAATACATTGCTGAAGAAATACAGAGTGTTAAATTTCATCATCACCACACTGAAATAAAGCGTACACTTATCTGAACAGAATCCAGATGTTATCAGTTACACAAAAGGATTGCACACCTCATCTTGGGACTTCTCATGGATTTAATTATGACAGCTTGATGCTCATGAGCACTTTGTCAATTTAGGCAGAATTACCCCCAAACTCCTGGTTAAAAGGATGAACAGAGTGAAGCTTCACTCTAGCTTGTTGGTTTGTGCCAGACTGTAAAAGCTGGCAAATGAAAGGAGCTACCTCTTTAATCCAGCTACAGTCAGTGTGACTTCAAAACCATTTAGGTTGATTTTCCTTACACTTCAAAATAAATGTTCAATTACCAGAACTGCACCCAAGCCCATCTTTAGAAACTCCGGTAACCAGACCCTCGACTGCAGCCGGGCTGTGGATGTAGTTCTCACTGAACACAGTCTCTGAATGTATCTGAACGGCTTTTGTGGAAGGGATGCAACAGGAGATGGGAAAACTCCAATTGCCTTAACGTTTGATTTTTCCGTGTCTTTGGTCATCCAAAGAATCACCTTTTTTTGATGCATCTCTTGTTATCTTTGTATTTTCCAGGCACCCTTTGAAACTTACTCTGGAGTTACAGCACTTCCAGGAACCAGCTCCAGAAGCTTCTTTTTCAAATCAAGATATCTGGGAGGGTAAGAACATCGACAAGGTGCAGAGTCCCCCAAGCCACTCATTCCTGTTTGAACAACTGTAGATTTTACTAAGCACAAAAATGATTCTGCAAACGTAGAAGAACTTGAGAAAAAACAAACTCCATGCATGTTCTTTGGTTTAGGTTTTCTTCGTTTGCTTGTTCTGGGTTTTGTTGTTGTTTTTTTAACCTGGGAAGTTCCACGTATGCTAGGATGAAATGTAAAAATTAATCCAATTTATGAGTGGGCAAGGCTGAACCAGCCCACATTTAAGAATCAAAACCACTTAGAAACTTGGGAAAGTTAACTCCTGTATTTCAGTGCTCAAAAACAAATTAAAAAAAGCCATGATTATCTGCCATCTAATTTTCTTGGAACACAACAAATACATCTTCAAGATACAAGTTCCAAGATTGTGCTCCCGTAGCCCATTTGTTTTCCAGTTCCAAGAGCACCCATCAGCCCCGCGGGCATTTTGCTGCAGGTAGCACCAGCCCCAGCTGCTCAACAAACCAGCGCAGGTGCGGGGCCAAAATCACACCTGGATTTCACAGCTCGGTGTTTCAGACACCAAGACTGGGACTCCTTTACTCACTCAGTGGGAGAAATATCCACAATTGCAATTCTTTCCTCCCGGTACCGTGCCCAACTCATGCCCATTCGGTGCTCGGCATTTGGAAAGACGCTGTCCTTCCTGGCCAGACTGCTCCAGGTGCGATCACGGGAGCAGTGTACTTAGCGGGGACCAGCTGAAGGGAACAGACAGTTAAAACACTTTGCTGGAGGGGGAAGAGACGGTTTTGCATTGTCTTGGGGGAAAAAAAACAAAACCAAACAAAAACCCCCAACTCCTTTCATTAAGAAATAAAATACAGAATTGGATATTGCCCTACTCGATATTGTAACAGCCACCAGTTGAGAAGAATTTAACAGAAATCAGCAGTAAATCCATAATGGCATATACCACCTTCCAAATTTTCCCGTACTTTAAAAATGGAAATAAAATACTGTCACTTCTGACTGTGTACACTGAAGAAAAAAACAAACCACACAATGAAATAGCAAGTCTATTGTCTACCTCCACGTTCCTTAATTTTTTTTCCCTTCGTGTGACTTTTATCCCAATTTTTCATGTCAGTTTTAAATTTACTGTGATTTAAAAAAAAAAATAAAAAGATATGGTGTCAAATTTAATAAAACCGTAGCTGCCTGCAAGTGGATGGGACGTGCTCAGAATCTTCCCGATCAGGCACTGAGGCCCAGAATATTTCAGGCTCCTGTTTTCAAAACCTTCTGCACCGTTTTTTATGTGTCCATTTACCGCACCCCCAAGGCAGTGGCACATTAACAGAGAAACACTGATCCGACCCAATTAACTCTGGAAATAGTTCATCGAATAAGGGAGGGGGAAAAGAAAAAATCACTGAAGGGACACACGAGTTTCAAGAACTGCAACTATTTATGGCAAAGAAAGAATCAACAACTGTTTCTCATGCTGGCAACATATATTTATTGTCATTTTGGGGACAGGTTACCATGTGCATATCAGGGCTTCAGACTAAAAATCAATCAGGATTATGAACTCTTAGCATATGCCAGTTGCAAATTGAATAAGTGAATGTAAAGCTGGCCTTGAGAAGAACTTCAGTGAATCTGTTTTTGTCCTTCCCTCCCCCCTCTTTTTTAATTAAAAGCTAAACATCTTCCCCTCGCCCTTCACTTCAACCTCTGAAAAAATAAACCATCATCCAAATGCAGCTTTTCCCAGTAGTCTGCTGGCGATCTCAGAACATTTATAGTGCTGATTCTACAGCTTCAGAAGGAAACTAAACCTTCACGAACCACGTTCTTCCTCCGCTTTACCGGGCTACCGAGTCCAGCTCTGAGGACTGCAATAAAATAAATCCAGAGTTGGTCGTAAGAGACCACGGTGGTTACGTTACTGTGGTGCAAACCTTCCCCACACGGGTGTTGCCGTCCCAGAACAAGCGACATCAGTGCAAGAGCCGACAGCCTGTGCAAAAGAAGCTGCAGTGCTAAAATCCCGGCCGTACCTTTCCTCTCTGTCCCACACGGGTCAACACACACCTTTCCACTAACTTGGCCCAAACAGCGCCCCCTCAAAGAGAAAGATGAAGCTATTTCATGCTTTTGTACAAAAAACAAACAACACCCCCACTCCAAAAAAAAAATTAAAATCCTCCAATCCTCCCACCCCCCCAAAAAAAACAGGTCAAAACTTTTTGTTCCCCGTCCTCCCAAGCCTCTTTTACCTTTTGTGTCACCATGAGAACAAATGCACACAATTAACTGTACAAATGTGAAGCTGCAGGCATTCAAGTTACAGAACGTTCTGAAAATATTTCAAGCATAAAAAGTACACTTGCTAATTGCAAAAATAAAGTTTCACTTTTTTTTTTTAAAAAACATTTTGATGAGAGCTCAAGCAAAATCAACACTTAAACGATTCCGACTTCAGTTTAACTTGGTAAGGACACCGTTTTGAGAATTTCAAAAAAATCACTTCAGATTTTGGAGATAAAGTATCTGACTGTGTCTTTTACGGAAGAGAAATGGCGAATATACAACAGTGGCACAGGCCGCGAGCATCGACAACATGTTTCCAAGTGATCTGAACCATTCCCAGCAGCCAGGGGTGCCCAGGACTAAGAACCACAATCCGCCGGGAACAGCCGTGTAAGTGAGACTGGTCTGAACGGAAGGAAAGATCCAGGACACCAAACGGGCTCAGGCTGTGTGACCCACCGTTTTGCAGGCTGACAATTTCACTAGTGCAAGACCATACGTTTACCTGATTAAATGAAAACTCATAAATGTCACAATTGGAGAACACTCATACAAAACTATTTTTTTTCTTTTAAAAAAGTGCCGCATACCATACTTTTACTAAAAAAGTTACAAACTAATGGAAGACTGTCTGCCGCCATCTCTTGTCGACAAGGAAAGGCCAAAGTGATTCTTTGATCCCAGCTCGAAACGGTGTTCTCTGACCTATCCCCAGCATCTCCAGCCTGGAGCAGTCCAGCTGAGCGTTCCTCGGACGCAGAGCACCCACAACGGGACAGTCGGTAATCTGAAAGAGAAACAGAAAAAATCCACAAAACCAACCTAACACATCAAGGAATGAGAAGCGATAGAAAAACATTTATTCGTATCTACACTCATTTAGAAGTTTTCCTTCAAAGCTTTCTATACAGGTACATTCCCTTTCTCATCCCGACTATTTTATTTTTCTTTGTTCATTTGCTTGTTTTAACTTCATTTCAACATAACAGATGTCAGACAGAGCAATGTGAAGTATCTTAAGTTAATTTTTTCTTAATTACTGCTCACTATTTATGTTTTTTCTACATTTTATTCCCATTTTCACTCTGTGATTATAATCACAAGGTCAAAAACACCCTAAAATGTTGACGGAACCGCATCTTGATCAATATACTTGAAGAGAAATAAATATGGGCAGAAAAAATTCAGGCTGATTTAATGTTCGCCATTCTTCTCTCCATCCTCAAAGCCACCTTCTGGCCTTTACCAATTCAGAATCCTTGGAATTTATTTCAGATATAAATAAAATCTTATTTACATACTATATTCTTGCAACGTTATCAGTAGGTCTTCAAGTGCCAACAGAACCGCAGGACAAGCAAATCAAAAATGATTTGAATTCCTAAGTGCATGTATCCAGAAACGAATCTGGGCACAGAAGAGTTCTTATCCATCGCTACCTTCAAGTTAACGTCCCGTCAGTCTGCAAGCTTTCTTAAGGACAGAAACACAACACAAAATACTGATTTACTTGTGACTAAGGGGAGCTGGTTTGCAGAAACACCGTTACGCTAGAGACTGCGAAACAGGTCACTGACTGGCCGGGTGATTGTCCTAATTCAGCACATCAAGGCAGCGACTGTGTTCCCAAGTTTGCATCCTCAGCAACGTACCTGCTGTGCTGGACGCACCCAGCTCGCCCTGAAGAGGAAGTTTAGCTGAAGAGCTAGCGTGAGACCTACTGCTTGACGCGCTAAGATGCCCCTGTCCCTCTGCAGGGCAAACAACCCGGCACTTACTGGTCTCAGGTGGCTGCTGGGAAGGTTGAAAGCATCAGCGATCGCACACGCCATCTCATACTTTGTCATCTGCTCATTGCCAGACCAGTGAAATGTTCCTTTTACTGACGGGTCCTACAGAAGAAACAGGAAACACATGTGGAAAAAAAAAAAAGCACACCTATGTGGCCTTCAGACTAATTCCTGTGCAAGGGCTGGCCCGAATAATCTTCCAGCAAGATCCTATCACAACAGGCACGTCACAGCACCTCAGTGATGTTCTAGAAACGTCTCGCACGTTTCCAGACGACGCCTGGCTAGGGCCGGACACTGAGCCCTGGTGTCACGCCATACACAGCCGAGGTGACTTTTCCGAAGCAGCTTACAGCCCGTCGAATGAACCGGAGGGACAGGAGTGAGCCAACCCACGAGCCAGGCATCCGGAGCTGGGCAGGAGGAACTGGGCTGTTCCACACCGTGCGCTTACTTGAAAGCAAAAAATGCAGAAGGCACCACACACATCCTGAACGTTAAACTGCAAACCACGTGTGAGCCTTGTCAAACAAAGTGACTGCACCATGTCCACAGTCTATTTTATTCCAATTTATATGTATGGAAAGTAAAGGTGGCTAGTTGGTGCTGTTACTTTGCAGAAGTGGTAGCCTGAAGCCGCTGCGGTGAATAAACACAGTAACAGATTTAAGTCTGGTGCCTTGGTTTTGCCACTTCTTATTCTTAACAGACTCAACAAGGGCAGCTTTGAGGATTTCACTCAACAACAAACATGGTTTGTTTTGTTGTTTTTTTTTTGTCCAGAATGGCAAGGTGTGAAGGGCAAACCAGAATAAGTGAGGTATTTGCATTTCTCTCCTGTATCCTAGAAAGCAAATGGCAATGTTTAGAAGGATCTGTCCCCATCACTTATCTCACTTTGGTTTTAAATACGAGAATACCCCCACGCTGTCGCGTGAGGACAGTGCAGCATTACAGCTAACTCCCGTGTTCCAGCAACGCAAAGAGGCACGTAGCTTCCGGGCAGTCCTCAGTCACTCAGCAACAAAGCCAAGGAGCTGGAGCTGCTTTTACCCCGAAGAGGTTTGTTTCTGTAAATCCTTACCAGCATTCTCTTCTCTGCCAGCTGTCTGCAAACAGTTGCTACATCCTTGACATTCGTAGGAAACCTTTGCTGCCAGTGGTCCATGTTGGCAGATTTATTACTGAACTGCACTTTGTCAAACATGACAGTCACCGCGCTTTCCTCCAGCCTTTCCACCTCTCCGTACAAGACGGGAATCCTAAGTACTGCAGCACCTCAAAGAAGGAACATTTGAGAACACTGTTAGGAAGAGCTGTGAACGCTGCAGTGTCACCTGGAAAGAGTTTCGGAAGTGTTAGGAGATCTGTTGGTGATATTAAGCATCTACACAGCACAAAGAAAATGTAATTAATACGTTTGCCCTCAGAACATGATTTTAATTTATATCAATTAAAACACTTTATAAACACTAAGTTTATATAAACTTATTTATGTCACTGATTTCCAGAAAATTAACAAGCTTTCATTAACACTGAAAGAGAAAAAAAACAGGCCTGCTGGGGTTAGAACAAAAATTAAAAAAATTAAAGAAGTGCACTATGCAGTTACTTCGGCCCTTCCCATCCTCCCGGGCAAAATCATGAACACAGACTCCTGCCAATCCCAAACCACCATATTCTGGCATCAATTACAAAGATTGTTTTTCACCCACCATGCAGAAGCCTCCTGCATAAAGGAGGTTACTACTTACCAGAAACAAAAAAAGACGAGAACCTTGGAATGAATAAAGAGCTTGAGAAATAAGGACCAGGTTCACAGAAGGCAGCAGTAAACAATATTAGATTAAGACACTATAAGAAACTAAACTAACAGTGAGCAAGCGCAAAGGGAAGGACATGTGACGATGGAATGTCCCACTGCCCACCTCAGTCATCAAGACTCAAAAGGCCTCTTCGAGGGGAAATCCAAGAAAGCTGTGACAAATTCATTACAAGTAATAGAGAGAGCTTTGCTTAAATCAAAAAACCCAACCAATTCAGTCCTGAAATCAAAAGCAGAAGTCACCAAATCACTGCAGTTCTTAAAGACCTGTAGGAAAATGCTACGGCGATTAGATAAAAAAACCCCACGAGCTAGGACACCAAGTAATCTCACAGAAAAAGTAAACCAAAAGTACTTACACAAGAAAAACAAACACAATAAAAAACCCCAACATGACATTGATTTCCCACCACTCTAACACCAGCTGTTTAGTCACTCAGTAAATATGCTCTACCTCTCTTTAAATACTGGTTGAAATGTTGCTTTTTAAATGACTTTCGAGGTACGCGTTGTTTAGGACAAAGACTGCCTGCCTTCTGTTCTCAGAGCACCGAGAGCACTACCTGCGGCACCCAGGGTGCTGAAGGCCTGCTGGAACTTGTTAGCTTTAGAATGAGTACTGGAACTTTTCACCCTAAATATAAGCTGTACCCCCTCCGAACCAAAGTAAGTATATTTTTTTAAGAAATATGTAAACCCTCCAAACTATTAGTGGAGATTCCTGCATTCTACAACACAAAGAGGGAGCTCTTCACGCAAACATAGCCACGGGATGGGCTGATTTCTACTTAGACAGTATTAGCAAGTTAGAGGTTGGAAGGCTAATGCACATGAAATATTTATATTCGTCTGAAACACTAGAAATGACATTTTCTAGCGTCAGTATCTCAAAATTCCTTCTGCCAATGACAGCGCCGCTGCACCCCGCGGCTGCCTGACAGATCACGCTCAAACGGGTCATGAGATGGAACTGAGTGTTGAGTTGGGGGAAGGATCCAGCCCGACACCCACACGCACTTGGGTCTGGAGCCGTCCTGTCTTTGTTACCCATCTAGAAGAGGGAGCAAACAGCATCACAGTCAAATTCAGAGATGATGTTGGAGTAGGAGGTGAAGGGAATTGCTTTTTATTTAATATTTTGTTTTTACTTAGATAAGATTTCTATCACAAGTATGTTTTAGAAAGTCTGTTACTTGCTAGTAAGGACAGACCTATACTGAGGGCTATCATTTCTGAATACAGTAAGCAGCTACTTACTGAAAGACCATTACACTAATTATCAATCTTTCAGTTCTCAGGTTAGGCAGAACAGAATCACCGTGCCAGTACCACAGTGAAGTATCGGAAGCCTCTTCTGCAAGTGCACTGAGATTATTTTCTTCAGATACTTTGAGAAAATAGAAGTGCTTCCTTTCTTAAAATCTGTGAAAGGAAAGTGGCAGCACACTAACTAAACCCAACCAAACCTCTCTTGTGCACAAGAAATAGGTTTTAAATGCTGGGGAACATGTTCAGTCCCAAGCTTTTCTCCCTTATACAGGAGAGTTTTTAGAATTATGCTTGTGTGTTTCTGAATGACAATTTTCATATAGATGTAAACCACAATTAAAAAACCCAGTTGCTTAACATCAGAAATATGTTACTAAACTTTTATAAACTTCTATAAACTTTTATAAAGATGTGTGTAGTGAGCTAGGTAGATTAAAAATAAACCCGATGGCCTGATGGCTTATGTAAGGAGAGCCAAACAGGAGATCAGCAAGAAAACCACAAGAGCAACAACAGCAGCCTGGGCTGGTTTTATCTGCACTAGTACTGAATCGCAAGTTTGCTTTTCCTGTTGAAAACGACACAACCACAACACGTCCCCTAGAGAACAGCAGCTCTGTGTTAATGTGGTAACGCTTGCGCCGTTACAACGCATTGATGATCTATTTTATCTTTCTGATCTTGACCGAGAGTAGACAAAGGCTTGTAGATGTCCCTCAGCAGAGGCTTCTAACACAAATGAGCATCGGAACAAGTAAGAAAAAGCTTTAATCAACCTAGAGGCAATAGGAATGGTTTATAGCAAGGAGACTGACTTCCAATCCCATTCTTTTCTAAATCTCATTTCCCTGGCTTTGCAACTTGACCACTGACTTACGAGCCTATTAAGCTAATGTACAACTAGGTGAAAACAGAAAGCCTCTATTAAAAACGTTTGAACGTACACTTACCTTCGTTGTTTTCCAGAACGGCCTTTTCGCCCTCCAGTTTGGTTTTACCATATAAATTCAGGGGATTTGGCGCGTCAGTCTCTTTATAAGGAGGGCTTGTTCCATCGAACACGTAGTCTGTACTGATGTAGATCAGAAATGCTCCAACTCCAGCTAGGAAGAAAATCTTTACATATAAATCTATTTTAATTCACGCCTTATTTGAAATCCCAATAAACCTTTAAACAAACATCCAAGAATCTCACCCTCCAGCCCCGTTCACTCCTGCTGCTCTGCCTGTTTGCTGACCCATCAGGCAGACACGTGTGCTGCCTTTACGGAAAACGGGCCCAGGGGACGCTGAGTGCAGAAATGACATTCAGCACTTCGAGTAACTCACCCGTATCTATGTCCCCATACAAATAAACGCAGTATTTTAACAAGAAAGCAAATCTGCTCGATGGTCTCCTTACCTGCCTCCTTTGCCAAGTTCCCCGAAGCAGCCACGTTGAGCTGAGAAGCAGCATCTGGTTGACTTTCTACGACATCTGGCCTCCTCTCAGCAGCACAGTGCACTATAACATGAGGCTGGAAATTAAAGACTGATTTGAAACAAGCAGCACGGATAAGACTGCAGCTGCAGCCCAACTCCAGCGGTGAACTCGCACAGCAAAAATGCACTTCACTAGGCTGTGAGAAGCAATAAAAGTAGCAGTAGTTATCTTATCATCGAGAGGAACGTGTTTTCCTGACTGATTTGAAACAAGCAGCACGGATAAGACTGCAGCTGCAGCCCAACTCCAGCGGTGAACTCGCACAGCAAAAATGCACTTCACTAGGCTGTGAGAAGCAATAAAAGTAGCAGTAGTTATCATCGAGAGGAACATGTTTTCCTTAGGTAGTATAATAGAACAATGACGCTTCAAGATACCAGAAAAAATTACCATTACTTTTCCAATTATGATCTTCAGTAGCTTCAATTTTACAGCAAGCTGATTTTTCTTCTTTTTAACTCTGTATGATAATATAAACCATAATAAAGTATCACACACACAATGCACCTTAAAATTCTTAGATAAGCCCTTTGCACACGGCTTATTTGACAAACGCAGACTATTAACAAGATATTTAAAGCCATTTTACAGAATGGCACTCTGCACAATGTGTCTCAGGTTTTACATACTCCCCTTTCTGGTTGGACTGGAAGAACAGTGAACTTCTTACTGCACGATACACGTGCAGTTACTGCAGCTGTATTCAAGTATCTTCAGTGTCAAACGAACTGCCTCACATCAGCATGTCAGTAACTCACATTTATTTTTTTCTTTCAACTATCAGTACAAGTGTGTCGACAGGCACACCTGTTACCTGCAGTCTGTCTGTGGTGAAAACTCTCTGCATCCACAGAAGCAGCCAGAAATGTTTCGGAGCTCTGCCGAGGCGTGAGACCCGTGGCAGCCCTATCGGAGCAGCACTATCACCCATGACCAGACCTGTGAAACGCCTTGCCCAGCTACTTCGTGCTCCAGAAACTTACCTGAAAATCATGGATAGTGTCATGAACCGCAACCGAGTCCAGAAGATTAACCTGTTCAAATCTGGGCCGAGCTCTCCTGTACCCGCAGCCAACTGCATTCCAATTGTTTTCATTGAATTCTTTGAACATGGCTCTGCCAAGAAGTCCTGTAGCGCCAGTGATCAAAACTCGCCTACTGGGAATATGAACATCTTCCTGGGGAAATGAGAACAGGAAAAGTTTTCTTTCTACTACTATTTAGTACTGTTTTTTCTTTAAAAATATACAAGGCTACAGTCAGAACTACTGTATTAAATGTCTTTTCTTGCTACGTGAGTCTTCTGGAGTGTCTCATGGAACATCAACATCTGGGAGCACCAAAACAGTAACTCACCAAGCATTTAAACATATTTTTGAAGACAATGAAAACAAAACTTTGTTTTATTCCACGCGTCACAAAGAGGATATTACATTAACAGCACAGCTTGAACTGAACACAGTCACAACACCACGACGACCAAGTCACGTACAGCTCGCATCCTGTGGCTCCCGGCCACACGCCTCCTTCATTTCAGTCACTTGCTTCTGAGAAACCAACCCAGAGCTGTTTCCCACAAACCCGCTACCAGCTTAAATGTGTTTCACCTTGCCAGAAGTTAAACGTTTTGGTAACACAAAACCTGGGCGTGTTAACTCTTTCCTCATACGCTGCTTTAGGAGATTGTCACCCCGCCGCAGCACCACTTCTGTCTCGGAAAGCACTGACAACAGAACTCGGAAGTGCAAAGGACGGTGCGCTGAAGCACTCCCACCGCTGCTCGCGCAGAAGTCACTGCTGTCGCCGTGCCGCTGTCGGCACGCACGCTGACCGTGCCGAGCCCCTCCGTGCAGCAACCACCTTGCTTCAATGGTTGGCGAAGCTCAAATATCAATTCCCATTACTGGCTTTGTCTTGCACGGAATCAACCATGGTCCTCTACAAGAGGAGGCTGCAAAAATTGATATCCAGTCTCTGGCTGCATCCCTGCTTAACTGAAACCACATGGAGAATAACATCTTCTTTTTCACTGTTGTTATTTCACGTATTTTTTTTTTTAAGTAAGGCTGGAGCAGTAATAATGTGATGTGAATGAGAGATAAGACTGCTCTTAAGGGTTATCTCAAGGAACTAGAAAGCACTCTTAGAATTTGCAGCAATTTTACAGACAGTTACCATGAGTAAAGAATACAACACGTTCTAGAATTCAAATGCTATCCTTCTGCCTGAAAGTTTTATAGGCTTAAAAGCAAGCTCCTGTTCAGATCAGCCCATCTGCTAGCAAATCTTTTTACATATGCTTCTCAACTTAGAGGCAATCCTATTCAGAGTCATCAGGTGTGCATGTTCTCTTGACAATTAATTTTGAATAATACTACTTAAACACACAAGCTTTATAATCATAGAATAGTATCAGCTGGAAGGCAGCTAGAAGATCATCAAGTCCAGCCTTTGTCCCAGCCCCATCAACCTACCAAATGATTCCCCCCAAGGAAACACCCACCCGTCTGTTCAACACCTTCAGGGACGGGGACTCAACCCCCTCCCTGGGCAGCCTGTGCCAATGGCTGACAGC